CACAAAGAGATAAGGGCAAGTACAAGTCTGTGTTTAAAAGGGCTCGAATAACACTGAAAAAGGAACTTGGAGCATCCGTTTTGGGCTAAGTCACACTTAGACAAACTCCACAGATGTTGAGTTCTCAACATCCATTGCTGGTGGTTCAAAGAATAGATCTAAAATGGGCAAAAACAGCATCCATGATGCTAAAAGACCAAGCCAAACCCAAAATACGGCTGAATTGAACAAATCCATGCATACCAAAGGGACAAAAGTGGACAGGTCTGACAGGAAGCATACCATTTAGGGTGCCAGGACCTGTCTCAATTGTCTGTACCAGGTATGGAAAACAGACATGATTGGACCACCTATGTTTTCTAGTAGGGCTGTCCTAGAGGTCACATCTGAATTACTGACCAACTCTCAACGGAACTTCTCAAACGTTAACCTTTGAAGCCAGAGAAAGCATTCTACGGGCTGGAAAAAAGAAATTAGGTTGAAAAAATGCCTCCACCAAACGGCAGTGTAGTGGAGACGCTGAAAAATTAATCTGAATTCCCTCTGAGAGTACAAGGAAACCATTAATTTTTTTTTTTTTTAAATCAGGAACTTCATTGTGGTAATCTTTAAACCTTAAAATGAAACTATTCTCTGAAGTCCTCTTTAAACCAAACAATAGTTTGGCTGAATTGGCAAAGAATATCTGCCATGAGCATTGTACTCTTTTAAACAATTATCCATATGTGATCATATTGACAACAGCAACTCGAAAGGTTAGATGAGAAGCTTAGGGGGCAGTGAGTTTATGTTAATGGTGGTGGAATAATTTGAAAAAGGATAGCAAGCATGGTGCACAACTTGAAGAATGTAATCAATGTCACTGAATTGTACATGTAGAAATTGTTGATGTGTGTGTTTTGCTGTGTATATTTTCACCAAAAAAAAAGAAAAGAAAAGAAAAAGTCAGGAACTTCACTGGAATAAGACGAAATGACGTAAATACACTCCAGGCTGCGGGAAGAGATAAAACCATCATCTTTCTTGAAAATGACTTGATAATAAAAACCAGTTACACCTGTAGTGTGTGACTTGGCCCTGGGACCCTGCTCTGGGCCAACCCGGGGACCAACACTATATCAGTTGATCGCATTTAGGTGGATGGGTGGGAGGCTGAGTCAGCTTGTCTTCTGAGAAGCAGACAGTAAGACAGTATTAGACATCTATGAGATTTATTGAGGGAAACTAATGGAAGATAAAGGGCAAAGGGTGCAGGAGTAGGCAGGGAGAGCCTGCAGCCACAGAGCAGGGCTGACGCCTATGGAAGGAGGGAGAGAAGGACGAACTGGGTTGGAAGAGCTTCAGACCGCAGGCAGCTCTGAGAAAGTCTTGGCTACGGCAATGGGAGTCCCCAGGCAAAGGTTGCCAGTTGGAGGCGCCCTGCATCAAGCCGGAATTGCTCAAGACCTATAGGGTCTCTGTGAGTCGGAACTGACTCAACAGCAACGGGTTTTCTTCTTTTTAGTTCCCCCACCATGTTCAGTCATGGGTCGCAGGAAGTTCAAGCAGAGCATGGCTCGGCATTACTGCATGAATCAGGAGGGCCAGGGCTGGGCTCTCCATCAACGTGCTCCCCCAGCAGGTTCTCCAGAAGGGAGGTCTGAGCAGCATGCCTGCAGAGTCCACCCTTGTGCCCATTCATACCAAGGCTGGTCACAAGCAACAGCAGAGGCTCTCCCAGCTACCACTGCCGACAAGACCATCTGCAGTGTGTGACAGTCTTTCTTCAGCAGGACCAGCTGGGTCCTTTCACCTCACTGAAGGATTTGAATGAGGCTCAGTCCCAGCCTCATACCAGGATGGAGATGAAACTGAATGGGGAAAAGTCTTGGGCCAAGCAAACAGGTCTGTGAATAGAGCTGAAGGGCATGGTGCTTGCAAGGTGGGGCTGAATTGAACAACAGAGAAAATGAGGACAGAGACGAGAAACAGGGTTGGAGGAGACGCCA